CCCCAAAACCCCAAAACCCCAAAACCCCAAAACCCCAAAACCCCATAAAATAGAAAAATTATTGAAATGAAACAAGAAAATAGTTTTTCGAAGAACACTGAAAAACTGTTAACAAAAAAATGCGACCAGGCACCTTTCGATCTTGTACTTGAAAAAGGTGAAAAGACCATCTTTAACTCCGAACATTATTCGAATATGAGTAAATCAAGACTTAGTCGGAAGGGACGGAACCATAAGTCCTTCAAAAGTAGGAGCGAAATCGGAGAGAAGACTTCTAAGTCTCCATCAGCAGTCGGTAAAGCCAGGGACAAGTTCGAAATTAACTACCGGAGAAGGCTTAATAAATTTTATCCCCAAGTAAACAATAGGAAGAAGGTTAGAAATCAATCTCAGTCATTTCATAAAGAAATTGTTAATAATAAAAGGAATAAAATTAGATCTAATAATACTTCCTGTGACAAGGATAATTATATGTATGAAATCCCTCTTGGCTATAAGGAGGAATCCAAAAGCCCCAAGCATGATGCACTGAACTCGACTATTATGTACCCTTCCAAAGTTCCCAATGTAAAGATTCCCAATACAGTCATAATGGAGCAGAACAATTCTCAAGATATTTTTGAAGAGAAATAAATACATCCATTCACGCCAGAAGCAGACTAAGAAAGGTATCATACAGAACTTCAAAGAGAAAATAAACCGAAGAAAGGAGTCTGAAGGAGAAAAACTAACTAACTCAATGGACCAGAAGCACCATAAGTATGGAGTCCTTCAGCCAGGGACAACTAAATATAATGACCATAAGTTTTATCTCAGTAAGAATCGGTCGAAGAAGACAGGGAGGCATAAACCAAAAGTTACCCTCCCTGACTTGCTTCCTTGCTCGATGAATGTTAAGCCTAAAAGACCTTCTCAAGTGTTTGGAACCCCAGTGAATAAGAAAAGACTCAAGGCTGATGGGAAAAGAAGGAAGAGAAGTTTTGCAACATCTCATTTAAGTGTAAATGAAAATCCTGCACAACTGTCTAACTTCAAGAAGCGACTGTTTTCTCAGGAGAATTCTCCCAGTAAAATCACGAAGGTGCAGAAAGCACCTGATAAATCATTTTATAACCAGAAGGTACTGATCCCATTAGACAGAATCGTACATGAAAGATGATACAATCAGTATTTGTTTCCAAATAAAACTCTTTGGAAGTTCTTGAATGGTGTGGGAACCCCACAACCTCTTGAAAAGCCAAAGAAGCCAAAGAAGAGTAAAAAAATTAACCGTTCCAAAGTCCGTAAGAAAATTAAAAAGCAAAAGCCTAAAGAAGAGGAAGACGGAGGATTTCTGAATATTGCCACCCTAAGAGATATAACCATAGCTGAAGGCCCTACCACTACTAATAAAGAACCGACCATTGTTGAAGAGAAGTCAGAAGTGACAGAAGAAGACAACTTTTTCGAAGACCAACTTAAGCAAACTATCCAAGAAGTTGATAGACCAGTAAAGACAGTTCATCAAATAAGGAAACCAGACAGGAAAGAAGCAGAATTTGGCAGTATCTTATTCAATCCTTCACTGACTCTTAAAGCTAAGGAATTGAGGTCTAGGCAGGCTCTCCAGAGTGGAGTTTCTGCACCTGAAGAAAAAAAAATTCCACCACAGATGCTTCCAAACCACGTGGCAGCATATAAGCCTATGAATTTAGATGAATCTACTCCATTAGAGGAATCAACGCATTTAGATGCTACCAAAGCTATTAAAAATGCACTAGAATCTGCTGATAGCAAAATGAAAAGTGAGGAACAAGGGAGAAACATATCTACTGATAACTTAAACCCAATAACATACAGGACTATAGAGGAGACTAAGCATCCAGGAGAGACTCCTAAGCGAAAATCCCCTAAGGGCAGTGAGAGTGTTAAACAATTACCTTCCTCTATGAAGGAAATTGCGTTGAAAGAAGACTCACGCACTGATGTCAACAAAAGTATTGAGGGTCTTAAGCTTAACTCAGGTATTAATTTAACTGAGAAGAATAATGCAAAACAGAATAATATTGAAAAATCTACAGAGAATGTCTCTATTACTCTAAAGAACAATGGCAAAGGAAAAAGAAAATCTGGATCACGGCAATACATACTTAATGATTCCTTCCTGAAGCTAGAACAATCTGCATTAGACAAAGAGACTCTAAATTTTGAGAATATCGTGACTGATTGGACTCAGACACCCTTGTATGCGATCACGAAAGATCTTGAGCACGAACATGAAGTTATAAACACCCTGATTAGTATCAAAGATCTTAACGAAGAGCAGTTTAACATTGGAGGATACAAAGACTTGGAAATCCTTGAATTTGAAAACGAGATAAACATCATCTTCCAAGCTCTAAAACAGAAGGCAAAGACAGAGACATTAATAATTAATGACGGAGTGACAGACTCTAAAGAATCCTCTAAAGCATTTAAGGCTAGGAAGGATATTTTATCTGCAGATCATACCTTTATTCACACATCAAGGTATATAGTGATTCTTGAGAACACTCTAAAATATCTTCTCCACTGAGTGGGCTTGTCTGCCTTCCTTAAAGAAGGCAGCCTGGACACCCAGAAGATGAGAGATAAAATAGATTTCTTAGATAACGAGATAAAAATGTGAATTCTAATAAAATAAAATGTTTACTTTCTGTAAAGAATGGTTCAAGATTCTTCAGAAATATTCCCAAAGAGAATGAATTCTCAACAGTATCAAACAAGACCTGAAGGATCTGAAAGAACTTTCAGAGAAGACTTCTCAAGAAAGAGGAAATGCAAGTCCTCCGGACTTGCATTCTACCTTAGATAGAACTCGTGAGCAAGTCCTTCTGAAAATTTCAGGGCTCAAAGAAGACGACGAGATTTTGTATTGAAATATTAAAAGATGAGTCAATACTTTTTCGAAAGTATTCAACTTTTCGATTAAGTTCTTATAAACTACCCTGAATACTACTACAAAAGTAACAGAGGTATTACTGCTTCTCCTCGTTCCCGTTCGGATCTAGTCAGAAATGTAAGTGACTTAATTACTTCGTTATAGAGTGGAAAATTTAATAGAAGAAATCACTTTCCAGTAAGAGTGACTTATAAGAACTCAGAATTGTTCAAAAATTTATTCCCAAGTCGGAATATGTTAGCTAATGATATACTAAGGCTGAAGGATAACCTCAGTCAGATTTAAAACAGTATTCCAAGTATAAAGCATTTCAACTAGTTGAAATATTTAAGGGGTTTTGGGGTTTTGGGGTTTTGGGGTTTTGGGG